CTTAACCACTTGAGCCACCGCAGCTCCATTATTATTACATTATTATGCTGCACACATCAGTAAAAGAAAAGTTTTACAAAATTACTAATGTGTACACCATATTGAATATTTGTATTTTTATAATAATTTAGAATGTGAGCTAGACCCTATGAACCAGGGGACTTGGGTACAAGCTGACACTTTTGGACTATATTTTGTCATTTAGGGAGCAACCCTGAGAAAAGCTCTTAAGAAGTGGTCCCCATTTATTCACTGGGCTTTACTCCTTGGAAAGTGTTCTTAGAATGGCAGCCTTAATATATTTACTGGCACGGATCATGTCCCTGTCCCAGCATGGGTCAACTGAAGCAATCATCAAATGGGTGTTAATGTGATGTTGCATTCATTCCTCAGTTTCACGTTTGAAGGACTCACACGAGACACGATCTCCGAGAGTACAAGCACCAGTCTGCCCTTTGAGGCAGCGGGAGTTTATTTTATAAATCCTGCCAGGGGTCATTTTGTAGAAAAAGAGGTGTAGGAGCTCATTAGCATAGCTCATTAGCATAACTTATTTGCATACGCCACACCCCCTGACCTCACCGGAAGTGTGTCAGAAGGCAACACCCACCGCTCAGGCTCCACTGGACTGTTTTGGATTCTAATGAGTTCCTGCTGGCTGTGGCCAACTTGGGAGCCAGCCAGAACTCCGTTCCTGTGCGTTCCTGCCCAAAAATAGCCCTGATCAAATGGGTGTTAATGTGATGTTGCGTTCATTCCTCAGTTTCACATTTGAAGGACTCACACGAGACACAGTCTCCGAGGGTACAAGCGCCGGTCTGCCCTTTGAGGCAGCGGGAGTTTATTTTATACATTCTGCAAGGGCCATTTTGTAGAAAAAGAGGTGCAGGAGCTCATTAGCATAACTCATTTGCATATGCCACACCCCCTGACATCACCGGAAGTGTGTCAGAAGGCAACACCCACCACTCAGGCTCCACTGGACTCTTTTGGATTGCAGCTATTGGAGGGGGGGAGGAATGAGCAGATCTGTCCTCGCAGAGGAGGGAGAGCTTGGACCTGAATAAAACTTGGTCTTAAAGGTGCCACTGGACTGTTTTGGACTCGGGGACCGGGGGGGGGCTCTGAAACTTACCTGGCTGCTTCTTGCTCTGACTGAGGGCTGCTGGGAGCAGGGGGTGGGGCTTGTTGCATGTGCCCGCCCCCTGGACTCTTTACTGCCGGAGCTCTGCTCCTGTGCGCTCCTGCAGGAAATGACCCCTGCGTTCTGCTTTCAACGTAAGATGAGGCTGTGGTGAAGCAAGGGAAACCAGATGCTCAGGCAGAATGCCTCGAATGCTTGCATAGCATAATTACCAGTGATAACAAGCTACTCCTGGCACCAATGTTCCCTCTAAGCTGTGGGGTCTTGTGAGCAAAAATTCTACTTGGTGAGCTACTGGCATTAAAGTTCTGAGTGAGCGATTTGGCTGCTGCATCAATTAGTTTGCTCTGGAGCCATCCCTTCCTGAGCTAAGACCAAAATGTGTGAGCCGGAGGCTAAAAAACTGTGGGCTAGCTCACACTAACTCAGCTTAGAGGGAACACTGCCTGGCGCCTAAGATGCCTGCAGTGACAAGATGTGCACAGGTCAGGATTAGTGTACCAAAGTCACTGATCTACCTTATGCTAATTGAGGCAGGATGTAGCAGGCTCAAGACTGGTGTGCCAGATCGTTAATCCTCCCTATACACATTCAGTCCTTAAAGAACCCAGTAGGTACAAAACAAAGGATCCAAAAATATTCTGCTATGAAGCCCATGTTCATGTGAGATCAAACATGTCGCTCATTATGCAATCCACACCTCATACTGATACATCAAATGCAGTTCATGCATTACAACACATACTTAACCTACAAAAAAATGCAAACCCACAACTTCCTTTGTCTTTATGGTGCTGTGGGACTCCTTGATCGTTGGGTTCCCAACAGCCTAGTGCGGCTACTCATCTGAAATTCGCCCGAATAGCGAAGTGCAGGCATGCAACTTTGGTTTCCGTGCAGAGTTTAGAAGCGAGTTTGGAAGGAGGAAGGGAGGGAGGGGAACATGAATGAAAACAGAGATCCACTTCTTGCTGGGACATTTCTAGTCTCTCTGCCATTCTTCCAGATACCACTAAATTTCCAAAGGTGCTATCATCCCTGCTGGTGCTCAGCTGCCCAAACTGAAAATCACAACTTCTGACTTATGAAGGAGCCCTTCCTCTGTGGAGTGGCTGCTGGCTGCAGCTGGGAACTAAGGAAATAGGCTGAGGACGTGGCAACCTGATGCCGTACCTAGTAATCCAGGTACCTGGAGCAGTTCTGTAGGTTGCCGGCAGCAACTGGGCACCTGGTTTCTGCACCCCTGCTTAGTCACCTTTATGTCCTACTGGAATTTGTTCTCGGCTTCTAGAGTTTCGACTTAAGGGGATTACTCTGTTGATATAGGTCAGTGATGACGAACCTTTTAGAGACCGAGTGCCCAAACTGCGACCCAAAACCCACTTATTGATCACAAAGTGCCAACACGGCCATTTAACCTGAATCCTGAGGTTTTACTTTAGAAAAAACAACTCATACATTAACTTAAGATGATCCAGACAAAGTAAGGAAAGTAATCCCAAATGCTTTCATTGACTTAAAATTATTTGGCAGAGAATTCAACACTTTAATGGCGGTCTGGGCCTGGCTGGGGCGATGGCACGCGTGCCCGCAGAGAGGGCTTTGAGTGCCACCTCTGGCACCCGTGCCATAGGTTCGCCACCACTGATATAGGTCGTTAACATTCAGCTTACATGCATGTTTTCAGAGACCATCGCTGGCAGAGTGGGTCCTAACACACTTCTGTTATAAAGTAAAGGTTCCCTTGCTCGAAAGCCAGTCGAGTCCGGCTCTAGGGTTGCGGTGCTCATCTCCGTTTCAAAGCCGAAGAGCCAGCGCTATCCGAAGACGTTTCCATGGTCATGTGGCCGGCATGACTAAACCCCAAGGCGCACGGAACGCTGTTATCTTCCCACCAAAGTGGTACCTATTTATCTACTTGCAATTTCTTGCTTTCGAACTGCTAGGTTGGCAGGAGCTGGAACTAGAGACGGGAACTAACTCCGTCTTGCGGCACCCGGATCTCGAACTGCTGAACTACTGACCTTCCACAGCCTGCAGTTATCAGAAAACAGCAATCTGTACTTTTTCAAAACCACAACATCCTTGGCTGATCACATGTATTTTGTGGGAAGTCCGATAGTTTCCTGTTGTCAGCATGTCTAATTACAGAAATAAAAGCTAGGTTAACCTCTTCCTTAGTAACGGGCCATTCTATGTCTTTATCTTGTTTTTTTTCCAGTTTGGTGTCGTGGTTAAGTGCGCGGACTCTAATCTGGGAGAACCGGGTTTGATTCCCCACTCCTCCACTTGCACCTGGCTGGACGACCTTGGGCAAGCCGTAGTTCTGATAAGAGCTGTCACACGTGAACCTTCCCTTCTTTTTACAAGTGCAAAACGACCCTCCACCTCCCCCCCTCCCCGGAAATCACCCGGCTTTCCCTCCCAGTGGACCCCTTCCCCAGCCAGCCTCTCCCTCGCCCAGTTCCCTGGGACTTACTTACTCCCCAGGAAGTGTGCCTCCGAGGGCAGCAGCCTCCACGCCAACTTGTCCCTCCGGCTCACCTCCCTCCCTCCCTCCCTCCAGACAGTCTGGTTCCAATTCCTGCACACTTTCCAGCCCTCAGCTTCTGGGTCTGCCTCACACCCCTATCGCCACCTTGATGCCAGAAAGAAGCAGCCCCTCCTGCCGGGGAGCCCTGTGTGGGATTTTTCTCCCAACCAAATGGACTTTCTTGCTTCCCTTGCAGAGGCTGACCATTTGTTAGCATTCTGTGACTAACCCCTTCCCCTCACCCCGGAGAAGTCATGAATGTGACCCCTGTCGGCAGCAACTCAAACGGGGGGGGGGCTTGAGCAAAGTCGGGTTTTGCTCTCCGCACTCCCTGGCACAAGCAAAGAGAGGTCAAGCTTCTGGAAAAGGAGACAGCACAAGCAAAGAGAGGTCGAGCTTCTGGAAAAGGAGACAGCACAGAACACTTAGGAAATAAAAGCATTTGTAAGAGCAGCGCTCCTAACCACAGATACCAGAACTGGTGATACCTTTTTGAGCTTGCAGAGAAGACTTTGGGAAATGTATGTAGTCACATGTTTATCCAAAAGACTAAGGTAGGATGCTTGGACCTTATCTTCAATAGCCATATATCAGGATTGTTAACTATTACCAGTCAGCTTTGAAATGGTCAACGACGTGTTAATTCTGACCTTCATTTCTAACTACTGTTTGTGCCCTCGTAAGGTACAACTTTTGTGCTGCGCTGTGTGTATCTCTGGAGATTTGTCTGAAATTGTGCAAGATATCCTAGGGGGCAGCAAGAAGACAGATAGGACAGTTGGGTCACAGCACCTTCTCTCCGGACTCCCGACTGCTACTCTTAGGGCAATTTCCCCCTTCTTCTCGGAAGTGCCACACTCGGTCTTACCCTTTCTCTCTCCTCTAGAGATGTAGTTAGGAACCTGTCTCTCTCTCTCTCTCTCTCTCTCTCTCTCTCTCTCTCTCTCCTCTTTCCTATCAAATATGTTAATTCCTAAATAAACCTTTATCTACTCTGTAATCAGCTTGTGCACTGCTGCTGTGTTAATTACTCTGCCAACAAGTGCAATAAGAACTAGCCCATATTGGATGAAAAATACTAAAAGATGGACTTTCTCTCTGACAAAGAACGGGTCCTTCCATATAGTAAACTGTACAGCGTTGGAGAGAAACTAGACCCAAACTTCAGGATTTGAGAAAGGGACACCATCATTGAAGAGTCTACAACATATACATTTATTCAAGCTCAATGGACTAATTGGTTAATTAATTAACTAGTTGGCAGCCGTCTTATCACTACCTTTGCCAACTACTCTTAGACAACGTCTGCTTCGCTCAGCAGTGCTATTTCACCGCTGTGCATCTGAAGGCATAAAGGCAGCAGCGAACCACATGGATGACGGCAAACAGTATGGTGATGAGGACGTAGCTCGTGAGGATGACCTTGACCGCATACAGGGTCTCGGGATCATCCAGGCTTCGTTTGCGGCGACTCTCGTACACCACAGAGAGCCGGAAACCAGCAACCATTTGCCCCTCTCGCCAGCAGTAGTAGGTGCCTCGGTCACTCAGCTGGGCAAACCGAATGTGCAGGTGATTCCCATGGTCTATGTAAACCCTCATGCTCCCATTGATCCTAATGAGGTACCTGGTGAGGTACAGCCGAGTTGAATCTTTGTCCCAGGCCACGGCATGTTCTGGCCTGGCACCAGGGCAGGAGATGATCAACCCGCTCCCAAGGGACTGCTTGTGGAACTGCACAGGCACGTCGGGAACCCACGGCTTCTCCCCAAGCTTCGAGATGACGTCCGAGATGGAAGCTTCCCCTTTTTTGGAGGACTTTTTCTTTCTGCAAGGCTTCGTGCAACTTCGGATAACCACCTCAGCCTTCCTATGCTGGAAGAGACCCCGGAACTGCCTTGGGATGGAGCTGGAGCCACAGGAGGCTACCTGCGCTGTGGTAGTACGGTACCTCCTGAGCAGGTAGGCACTCTTGATGTAGCAAAGACCAATTCTGCGCTGCTCACCTCTGACGTCACAACGGTTACATGTGGTCCAGTCCCAGAAGACAGTGAAGACTGTGAGTTGAGTTTCATCATGGTCCTCCTGTGGGTGCTGATTTCTGTCTGCAAAGGCAACATCTATGCCCTTGGAAGCCTGCACATCCACATCATAGCCGTAGAAGAAGTCTCCATGCTTCGTGCCGCAAATGTAATGCCCTGAATCTTCTACCTGAACTCGGAAGACAATGAGACTGAACATCCTAATACTGAAGCGGCGGAGCATGTCGCTGCCCACCTTGATCGAGCTGGAGTCCACAATCAACGTGCCCTCAAAGTCCGTCAAGACTCTAGTCTGCTGACTGCCCATGTGCTTCTGGAAGTACCACACCACTGAGGTGACCTCTTCTGGTTTGCAGTTGCAAGGTAACTCAAAGCTCATGTCGGCCAGGTAGGCAGCATTCTCAAACATCAGGAAGGCCGGGCAAGGAGTCTTCTTGAACACATCTTCCTTCTCCATGATGGCAAAGGCATGGAGGACATCGGCCGTGTGAAGGACGAGGACAATCCCAGCCAATCCCGCCGGAGCCATTTGGTTCTTGAATCAATCGTGTCACCCAACAGGTTCCACGCTGGGCAGAAGTTCTAGACTTTAACTCAGATTCTAGAATGGAAGCCCAGCTCTGGGATGGAACAGTAAAGAAACAGGTCTGTCTGTCCCCCAAGCCCAAAAGGCCGGTTGACATGATACTGCCCTTCTACACCTTGGATTTCAAGGAGCCAAAGCTTTTGTCAAACAAACATCTCTCCAAATGGACAGAGCACGAGCCTCACACCTTTTAGTGGTGAGAAATAAAAGCCCAAATTTTGCTCCATCCCGTTACCTTTATTCATTAGAACTCCCAAAGCACCACAGAGCTTTCACTTTTGAGCAGGAACGCACAGGAACGGAGTTCCGGCTGGCTTCAGAGTTGGCCACACCCACTACAGCCAAAACCTCTGCGTGAGTGGTGGCTACAGAGGAAAGGCCTGGAGAGTGACCCCCCCCCGGTGACTTTGAGGCAGGTGGACCAGGGCCCCCCCTGGAAGGATCGGGGAGGCATTTAAATGCCTCCCATGCGTTCCCCGGCTTGAACAAGGGTCAGCTTGCCCCGGGCAAGCCAAGGGAAGGCATGGGGGTGTGGCCTAATATGCCAATGAGTTTCTGCTGTTGGGTGTGGCCTATTACGCCAATGAGTTCCTGCTGGGCTTTTTCTACAAAAAAAGCCCTGAGCACAATTAAATGTTCTCCCATCTGCCCTCCTGCAAGGGAGATATGCTCATACCCCCTACGCAAGACGTTTCCGTGGTCATGTGGCCGGCATGACTAAACACCAAGGCGCACAGAACGCTGTGACCTTCCCACCGAAGTGGTACCTATTTATCTACTTGCAATTTCTTGCTTTCGAACTGCTAGGTTGGCAGGAGCTGGGACTAGAGATGGGAGCTCACTCCGTCATACGGCACACTCGGGTCTCGAACTGCTGAACTACCGACATTCCACAGCCTGCAGTTCAGCGTCCTAACCACTTGAGCCTTAACACACTTGAGTGTGTGGGTGAACGCATGAGACCCTTGCTTTTAGACGATGTAACTTTCCCACAAGTCATTCCCTTTTCCTCCCCTCTCCCTTTCCCAGGAGAAGTGACCTTGAGCACATTCTTGTACCATCTCGGACTCTAGATTAACAGGACATATATCTTTCCCAGTTGGCATGGCAATTAGGCAAAGTGTGGATGTGACATATGCCTGGGGGGCTGAATGGGACCTGTTTGATTTTCTATAATAAGTTAGTACCCACCAAAAGACTTCAGTTCTAACATGATGACTCTTGGATCTTGCATATGTTCTAATAAACTTATCACTGCCAAAGCGAGAGTTATTGAGAGTAACTGGACCGGGGTCTGACATTATGCTGTGGAATTTTGCCCTCTTGCCTAGAAGCCAACTTTGCTTTTTTTTATATATATATATAAAGGTTTTATTGACTCTCCTAAAAAGGAGAGGTATTTCGCTTAAAATAGAAAAATTGGGAGGGTATATAGTGGGA